GACTCTTTTAGAATATTTTGCTGAGTTAACACACCTATAATATTTAAATCATGGAACTTAACAAAAAAAGAACCATTTACTCAGCTCTAAAGAATGATAAACTCGAAGCCTTCATATTGAAGTGGATGCCACTTGAAGATATACTCATAAGTGAAATAAACCAGACCCATATGTGTAAATATCATACAGTCTCCCTAGTATAAGAACTCTAAAGAAGAAATACAAATAGAAATGTACAACACAAAAGGAAACTGAGCCTTGAGGATTGGACAATGAGGAGCGGGCAAGGAGAAAAGCTGGGAAACATGACAGGGGCAGAGTCATACATTTATATACACAAGATGGGTAAGGCAAGGATCCTGAGAATCTGCAGCATGTTTTTGAAACTAGCAGTTAATTGGTAGGATTCTCACCCTGACTAACTATATATGCTAACTGTGAACTAAGCAGCTGCACTGAAGATAGCAATGTGTAATGGTAGGGTCATGCTTGGAATGCCTGCCATTCTGGTCTTCTTAATACGTACTGCTTGTCATGACATACCAGTCACTGCCATACTGTCTCTCAAGCAAATGTTCATTTACAAAAAATGTCGATAAATGAAAACAAGAGAAAGGAAAAAAATGTCACAGGACAGTCCTGCTACAATGCCGTATATGGCTAGATTTTTTAATTTCTGTGTAAAATTACGTAATTGTTTATTCATATTTTTTCAATTTTTTTTAATTTTTGTCTTCATATTCTGCAGGGACTTAAAGTTTAACATATCAATACTTGATGGAAAATACCTGTTCCATGTTATGCGTAAGATGTTTGATATCCAGACAGATAGTTAGGTTAAACCCAACTGCGTATGTTGTAGAGTAATAATAAGCTTCTCTTCTGGAGGGTTAACAATGTAATTTGCAGACCAAAAATCGGAGAAAAAGAAGAGCTGCGAGGACAGCCAATATTTTGGCCCTAGCCTTTCAAGGTCAGTGAGGACTCAGGACATAGGAGTACCTTTACTGTAACATTATGTAATTTAGTTGTGTCTCAAATTTTCTGATCAAGGAGATTATGGGGCCAGAGAGGAATGTGATCAATTATGTAGAGTGTGCCTATGGAGAGTCACATGGAGAGAAAACATTCTCTCAGGCTTTTACAGAGAACAAATTGGTCAAGCAAGGGCCGTGACTCATCTACATGGCTGACACTCACAAAGGATCTACAAACTGCAGTACATGATTTCAGGTTAAATCCTGAGGGGATTTGAATGAAGATACAAAAGTTACATTTCTTATTATATATATCTTGCTTTATCAGTCTTAACCATCCAGCACAAAAGTATGAAAATGAAGTATAAAAAGTAAAGCCAAATTAATATACTGAGCTGCAAAAAGCTCAAGTCAACAAATTTGGACATTACCAGTCTTACAGGAAACTCACTACTATTATGGACTACTGGACTATATTGGGAGATGTTGCTGAATTCAAGCACCTACAATATTTAAATGATAATGGAATGCCTATCTCTGATAAAACTAACCAAAAAAAGTGGGATAAAAATGAACGACCCTTTTGTATCTGTATACTCAAAATACTTAGGATAGATATACAGCTCCATTCTCTTAATTCAATGAATAGAGGGGTTTGTTCTAAGAGTGTTTGAGAAAGGATATCATGTCTGCATCTTGTACAGTGAATAACCAGTAAGACAACAATATGCAATGTAGTAATTATTAAAAATGTGCCAGTAATCGGTTGTGAAACTGTCTCATTGACTCTTGTTTCTCAATAAAATTATTTTTAAAAATAAGATGAATCAATAAAAGCTAAAAATATTACAAATTATTCTGACAAAACTATTAACATAATTGCCTATTTTAAGTAAGAGTCACATTTCTACATTACATCCTAATAAATTAGTATTTGTAAAATATGTAAAAACTCAGTAACATATGACTCTTCCCTCAATAGCCTAGCTACACAGCCATACAAGGGTCACTAGCAAGGTGCAAGCACTCAGAAGACTTTATACTATTCTTTTCTTTCCTTTGGCATGGCACTTGTTAATATGTCTAGAAGATAGGTTGAATATCTATATTATCTTAATGCCAATAATTTTCACCTGAAATTTATCTATATTAATAACAGTATTTTGCAGATAATTATAAAATGCCAGTATGGGTAAAACTTTGGGCAGACAAGAAGAAACACAAAAAGTCAATGCATTCATGAAAATGTTCATTTGGTTAACATTCCTTAATACTTAATGTTTCCCACTCTAAATGGCTTGGAAAGAGGGAAAGCATAATCACATCAAGAAAGTTAATACCAGAAACTGGGCGTGGTAGCACACACCCATAATCCCAGAACTGGGGAGGCTGACATAGAAGGATCACTATGAGTCCGAACTCTAAGCTGCATAGTGAGACCTTGTACCAAATAAATAAGTAAAAAGATTTAAAAAGAAAGTAAGTAAGTAATCAAGCAAGCAAGCTAATACCAGCAAGAGGTTTCTTACAGAAGCAAGAAAATGCAGAACCTAGAATTGCTACTCACTTATCTGGGTATGGATTTCAAATACCTGTGATGGAGCAATAGATGATATGAGGCGCAACCTTGTCCACATCTTCATATCCCAGACCCATGGCAGACAGTTTTCCAGGGACATAGTTTTCCACAAAGACATCACAAACAGCTGCAAGCTAAAGGAAGAGATGAAGATGAGTAAGGCTTCTGAAGGAACTTCGCAACTTTCAACAATTGTCCCACAGGACAAAATTTTAATTTCTATAAGCACAATTGATTCTCACCTTGTGACAGTTAAGAAAAATCACAGGAGAGATGAAATAGATTTATATAAACATAAAAGCCAGGATCAATTATTTGATACATTACTGCCAGTAAAATAAGGGCTGCTAAATTTTACATTAAAAATGGTGCAACAGGACTGTGGAGATAGATCAGTGGTCTAAGCATCTGGCTAGGCAAGCACAAGGACTCAGGTTCAATTCCCAGCACCACATGCCACGTAGGCCCTGCCCCAAGCATGCAAAGCTGGTCACCAAGGCCATGTGTGGTGATGCATGCCTGTAATCCCAGCACTGGGGAGGCTGAAAACAGGAGGATCACTACAATATCAAGATGCATAGTGAGACCCTGTACCACATACATAAAATTACATAAAAAATTGATGCAACAGATTCTGCTTCTTTCCAGCATGAGAAATTTGTAGGCTTCATGGTCTGTCCAGATCTAATCTCAAAAGTATATGTAGGAAATTAAAATATAAGTACACGAAACATAGGAAAACACCTTGAAACCTTTATAAAATATCTAAATTCAATGCCATCACTACTCTCCATCCTTATTATGATATCACTGATTATAACATGCACTTAATATATGGAAACATGATTCTGAAAATGCCCTCATATTTTTATGAGTCCCTTCCAAAGAGTTTTAAATACCTGAGGGCCTGTTTCAATATATATATATATTCCATTAAAAAAAGAGTTTTAAACACCTTTAATGAGCCATTGTTTTGTTTGGTCTTGTTTTTCAAACTCAACATCATGCCCACTGAGCCAGTAATTGTCAAAAACAACCCAGATTTTGATGATCAGACCAATGACACAGAAGATTAGAGAACAATGGATTACTATAATCTTAAATTTTTTCAAAATCTTAATTGTGACAACATACTTTTAAAGTTATACCTAAAGTTATAACAAAAATTATACTAGATTCCCCAGAGAAATCCACCACAGTAATTCTTTAATAGATCCAGGTGCCTAATAACTATTCAATTATTTTGTTAGAGCTGGGGATATGGCTCAGTGGTAGAGTGCTTGCCTAGCATACAAGGCCCTGAGTTTGATATTAGTTCAAAAAAAATAATTTCTTATTGATAGACAATTAGAAAATAATTTCTTATTGAAGGCCAGGGAGATGGCTCAGTGGAATAAGCGCTTCCCTGGCAAGCGCAAGGGCCTGAGTTCAATCCCTGGTTCCACCAAAAAAAAAAAAGAAAAAAAAAATAGAAAATAATTTCTTATTGATATTCAAGGCCCAGAAAGACAGCTCAGCAGACTAAGCTCCTGCTTTGGCAGGCACGGGGACTAGGGTTCAATCCCCCAGTCTCACATGCCTCACCAGCCCCACTCCCTGGGCATGCTGAGCAGGCAACTGAGTCCAGGTGTGGTGGGGCACACCTATAATCCTAGCACAGGGGAGGCTGAAAATAGGAGGATCACCACAAGTCTGAGCTGCGTAGTGACCCTGTATCAAACATAAATGAAAAAATAAAATAAAAAGAATTAGATACATTCACACTTATACAAACTATCAGACTCAGATTCCAGATCATCACAACTTCAAAGTTAGGTGTGGTGGTATACACCTGTAATCTCAGCACTCAGGAAGCTGGACCATGAGAATCACCACCAGCCTGGACTACTTAATGCCTTCAAGACCAGCCTGAACTACATAGCAAGATCTTGTTCCTCAAAAGAACAAAACAAAACAAACAAAAAAGGCAAATTTATAGAGATAGAAAATTGATTAGAGATTACTAGGGATTAATGGAGGGAAAGTGAAGCTTTACTGCTTAATAAATACAAAGTTTTGTTAGGGTGATGAAAATATTGTATATAATTAATGCCAGTGAAATGAATACTTCTAAATAGCTAACACAAAATTTTTGTTACATATATTTTGCCATAATCAAAACTAAACCTTGTGAAGTATTCATATTTTTTAATTTCTAAAGAGTCCTGAATCACATCTCAATTCACACCTAGTATACAAATAGGCCATAAATTTGATGTTTTGGTCAAAAAGAAAATAAACATACTAAGTTATGCTACTAGAAAATTATTCCAAATATATTAAATAAGAGAAAAGCAGATTATATGCTTTTGTCTAATAATTATTTATGCTAATACAGAAGTATTCAGAACATATGAAGTAACAAAAAAGTAGATTATATGCAAATAGCACATAGGGTATGTTCTGATATCTGGGGGCTAAATAAGAATATAAGGTTGTAAGAGGCAGTTTAGGGGTGCGCTCCTCACCACCGCCGCGCCCCCGCTCCCCTCGTGTGCTGCGCCTCCGCGCTAAGGTTCAACAGTCAACATGCCCTCCCAAATGGAACAC